GGAGGAGAGGAAGAAGCTGCCGCCACCGCCCACTTCGGATCCATGAAATGCAGTGGGCAATAGTCGAGTCTGACAGGCCTGGATTGAGATGGTGGTTGGGCCACTGTGTGACACCAGACAAGCTAATGTGCTTCCCTGAGCCTCAGATTCCTTCTCTTTTCAGAGGTGGGGATATGACAGGCTTCTTGAGGATTAAATGTGTATCGTTCCAAGTACTCTTTCTGCTCCAGAGACTTTAGGGGCAGTGGTGTCCCCAGTGACAAAGGGGTGCCTCATAACGATGCTTGCAGCTCACTTGCTGACAGCCATTTCCCCTCTCACTTTCCAGGGACAGTGTTTGTTTCGGGCCCGTTCCCAGAAAAGCGCACAGTCCCCGTTCTTTCCACATCCTGATGACCTCCTCTTTGTGACACAAAATGGGTTCTTTTCTGCAAGGAAACGGGAGGATGCTTTTTCAGACTCCTGCAAAGGGGCCAGCGTGAACCCAGTGATCACGTGGACCCTTGGCTGGTACCAACTGTTCTAGGTCAGTAGGCGAAACGGACATCCCTGCCCTGGTAAGGCTGATACCGTGTCCCTAAGTGTGTTGGCATCGAGCCTTGATACTTCCTTGGAATCTGGTGAGGGGCAAAACATGCGAATTCATAGAAAACTGGAAGTTGAGCCTGAAAGGGGCTCAATGACGCTCAGATCTCTGGGAACACCCGAGATATGGCTACAGGCAGAACTCCTCACACTGTGATGTGTACGGGGCTCCTGCTATCCTGCAGGTTCTGGTTCGGTAGGTCTGGGGGTGGGGCCCCAGAACTTGCATTTCTAGCAAATTTGGATGTTCTGGTCTATGGACCATCTATGTTTGAAGTGACACCTTATATTCATCACGACCAAACATAAGCTTATTTTTCTTCAGCTTTCAGTGAAATTGTGCATACACAAAGGAAAAACTAATTTCATTCGAGTATTCCAGTTGTTTACATTTTTGGAGAGGGCTGAAGGCCTGGGTGTCAGATCTTGGCTCCCACTGCAGTTTTCAAGTGACCAGGAGTGGCCTTAAGCTTGCACTTCACCACTGGAAGCCCCGGTTTTCTCATCTGCGAGCAGAGACTTTTCCTACCTCTGTCTCATTCAGGCAAAACCTTAGTTGTCGGGACATTTTAACAGGATGGATTCAAGTGTCTCTGTCTGAGCATTTTAATCTGTATTTTTAGTTAGGTTGGGGGTTATCTCTGGGGGAGTTGCTGGGGTTCTAAAATCTTACCATGAACAACTGATAAACTGGTATTCTGAATGCACAAGCAGTGTCTCTAGAACAAATAAATACACGCTGGGCAACCATTCATTGAGTTTACCAGGTGCCAGGCAATATGCCAACTGCTGTACAGAGATTGTCTCGCTCATCTTTATAATGATTCTATGAGGTACATTCAGTTATTTTCTCCAAAACCAAAGCAAACAAACAAAGCTGAAAGTTACGGAGAATGTCAGTCGCCTAAACACATATATTTTAAAAGTGGGTACAACCAAGATTCTACCAGCTCTGTCTGACTTCTAGACCCAAGCTCTTAAATATAGTTAACTCATTTTTAAGTGACGAACAGAGTTACGGTAGTAAAACAGATGCAGAGACAGGAACAAGAAGGTTAAAATGCTCAACCCTTTATTAAGTCTGGTCATAAGGCACTCCCCAATCTTGGGTTACTTGAGATTCTTCTCTGTGAACTATGTCGAAGGCCAGTTCCACATTAGAATCTGACAGACAATCTGAGAGCGAATTTACCTCCCCACCATGTGCAATGGTGTTCGTTATCAGCATCTAAAGCAGAATCACACGTCCCCCTGTGCTCATAATAGACACTCCTGGAATTACACTGTGTGGGGCTGGGAGGGGGCGTGTGCTCTGTGCATACGGTATTCACGAAGGTGGCAGCCTGGGAGCCAAGAACAGGAAAGAATTCCCTGCTGAAGGCATAATACAAACTATCATTCATTGGGAGTTACTGATGGTACCCAGATGTCAAGTCGGAATGAAAGGTACCATCAACTGTGACATAAAAACTGCATTGCTTTTTATATACAAATAAAAGAGAGAATTTATTTTCATTCTGAGTTTATTTAACATTTCATCCAGTTGAACTGAAATAATACATTGATTCCAACACTGGCGAGACACTGTGCTAATCCTGAAATAAAAACTGCCAGTCAGTAAATACGCACAATCATAATTCTTTATAATGTTAATAGAAATATGAATAACTATTTACCATTATAAGCTCATTGCACTTCATGTGGGCTTTTCTCCAGAAAAGGTATTTCTAAGAAATCAGCAAAATTGCCAATCTTGGTTCATTTGCTCCTTTTTATAAACCACGATTAAACGATACAGTTAATATTTCTATATAAAAGCATCAAGAGTTGGAAGCTTCAATAAATAATGTTTAAAAAGACACATCTCCATGTTCATTATCCCTTCCTGGTGTGTATAAAGTTTAGTTCATCAATCTTCAAGCCAGTTGCTGATTAATTTCTCAGTGAAGGTTAAGATTCTGAGAAGGAGCTACCAGTGAACAGGGGTGGGGAGTGGGGAGGGTGGGGGTCAGAATACTGAGATTAGCTGGGGCAGGTTGTGGGGGGCTTCGGTTTCTCCTTAAAAGCACCCTTAAAAGCACCTCGTGGAGATCTGCCTTGAATTTCAGGCTCCTACCACTTTTTAAAGAGAAGCATCTATGGCAATAAAATACATCCAAGGACAGAATGTAATGGGGAAGCTATTTTGCCTCAAATGGTTTAAGACAGAAAATCTAAATGAGAAAATTCTGGTGGCACAAAGGAAGGCTCAGAGTGGCCCCAAGCTTCAGATCCATTAATCCTTTCAGAGAAAAGAGAAACACGGACACAAGGAACACCATTTTTTCTTTATGAGGAAATTCAGTCTGGTCACATTGTCTGGAAAAATCTGTCAAAACTAGCTTCTACATTTTTTTTTCACTTATAAGTCTCTGAATTACAATTGAACTGAGTGGCCTCACTCAACAGAACCACGTAGCATATGCCTTGAACATCTTCAGACTTGAAACATAATCTGCTACATTAAATACATGTGAAGCTACTACAGAGGATGTAAACAGTGGTCCATGGATTCCTTATTGTCAAGCAGGGTGGAATGAAGTATAGAATATTCAAGTACAATTCATTCAGTCACTGATTCACATACACATTATTTCTGTATCTTTCTGAAAGCCAAAGAGGTCTATGAGAATGACAAGAAAAGACATGTAGCTAGCTGGAACTGTGCTCTCACTTCTAAAAAAAAAAAATCAAACAAACCAGATTCAACCCAGTCATACAGCATTGGTATTGAATATACTTCCAAAATTTGACATTTGTACATTTCAGTTATTTGATTATTTGATGTAAATAACTGAATATAAAGTCAACAAGTGCAAGGTAAGATTAGCTTCATAGGAATGTAAAACAGAATAAATTTAAGAGTCAACTAAAGAAATCCACCAGCAATATGAATGCATATAGTTGTTGACAGCAGGGATGGCTCATCACATGTGTCTATTACTGTGACTTTTGGGAAGTAGACAGAAGAGCTTTTATCCTATAAATCCAAAAGACTCATCATCTACTTTGGGTTGCCCATTGCCCAAAGTGGAAGCAAATGTCCTTAATATTTACGAGTCATTTTTTATAGCTTAGCCTCAGAGCTTTTGTGTTTTCCCCAATCAGTGCTGAGTGATTTGAAACAAGAATGGGATGGATAAAAACTCAATATTTCAAACAGATTTCCTTTTCACTCACTGATAATCAATACATATGTATTGAGCATATACTGAACATCTACTCTATGCCTAGCAGTGCTTTTTAAAACTCTGGGTGAGGGCTGGTATATTGTCTTTGAAAAACAATTACTATAAAAGCTAGAGGAAGGGTATTTCTGTAAATTATATCGTGATTCAAATGTAAGGGAGCCAACAGGTGTCAGGCGCCTGGCCCATACGAGGTGCTGTGCTGTAAGCAGCAGCTTGACTCTAAAAGGCTAATGTGGGTCTTTAAAAGGTTTCTGTAACTGGGAGAACCCGGGTCGAACCGGCTTTTCCTCACCGGGTCTGCAGTAGACGGGATAAGCTGTAGAGTTTCTTCTGCTACTTTACAATCCCTTATTAAAGTATACACGTCGTAATTCAGGATGGGTCTCTTGGATCTTGGCTTGCAACTCAGCCTCCAAGCTTGTCACAGACATGGAACTAGGATAAGGGAGAAACAACACGATTATTACATGGGCAGAGTAGGGAACTAGAATCTGGACACACAGCAGAGAAGGGCCGTCCCTTCTCTGGGACAGCTCCCCGAATCATGACTGGTATTGTAAGACAGAGTCCTGTTTGAAAAATGCTTCCTGTGCCTTGAAAATGAATGCCCAGTTCCTTTTGGAAAATTAATTGTTGCTAATAATCAAAGAAATGCACCTTAAGAGCTCAAAAATTATTAAAAGTTTAAGAACTGTTCATGGCTGGGAAGAAGGCAAGCAACAAGACTCTCAGCCCCTGCTGGTATTGGGAAACAGTGTGTGATAATGCCACTTCCCCAAGGAAAACAATATAAATGTTCACCATTAATAAAAAAGACATGTGTACTTAGTGGAATTTTTAACACTAAAAATTCACTTGCATTAATATGCTTTTCTCCACTGTATTAAGAATACATGCTTCTTGCAAACGTTTTAGAAAACACTGAACTGTACAAGAAAAAAACCATCACTCATAGTCACACACCACTGAGCGATGACTTGTTAGTCTTTGCTTTATGCACCTAAAAAAAGTACTTGAATGTATTAAAGCTTGTTTTTTTGTTACAAATGCATACTTATTATATAAAAGTATGAAGAAAAATTGTCCATAATGCTTACTACCAGAAAACCTGGTAATATTTCAATATGTAATCTTTTAAAAAAATTGTTGTGTAATATAGTTGAGATGTGGGAAAACATGAGATTAAAAAAAAGACAGGATATAGATATATAAACATATGTAAGAAAATAAAAGAAATATTGTGAATATAGGAAAGAAAGTACCTACGTGGTTATGTTCTACACAGTGGGACGTAGGGTAGTCTTAAAATGATGCCACTGATAATGATAATGGTTATGACTTATTGATCATTTGTTGGACCAGATATTATGCTTTTTCATCCTTATAAGAACCCTGAAAGTCAGGTATTATCCTAGTTTTACAGATAAGGAAACTGGAGGGATACTTGAGATTCAAAGCCACGCTCCTAACCAACACGCTATACTGTCTCTTGGTCTTGTTTTTCCATTGATCTAGAAGTACTCATAATTACTCTTAACATATTATAAAGGCCAACTCCGATTTTGGAATTAAAGTTATTCAAACCTTCCTGGATGGTGGGGAGACTCTTTTTTTTTAATCTTCTGGAAGAGTTTGTTTAAAACTGGAGTAATCTGTTTCTTGACAGTTGAGTAAACACCTGTAAAACCACCTAGTTCTTGTGTTTATTTTGTATGAAGAAGTTTAAATAAAACTTCAACTTCCTTAATGATGATATGCCAATTCAGACTAATTTTTCAGCATTGTTAATATTTTTCCAGGAATTTGTCCATTTGCCTGTTTTCAAATCTACTGGCATAATGATGTTGATAATACTTGTAGCAATATTTGTAGTTACACCTTCTCTTCATTCATAGTATTATTTGTTCCTTTTGTTGTGATTGACATCACGATGATTTTGTTACTATTTGTTACCATTTTGTTACTATTTTCAAGAACCAACTTTTGACTTCCTGGATCCTCCTTTATTTCTTACATCCTTCCTTTCTCTTTCCTTGCAGTTTATTCTTTTTGTTCCTGTTGGACCTTTAGTGCTTGGTTTTCAGCCATTCTTCCTTTCTAATATATACATTTAAAGCTATAAATTTCTCTCAAAACAACACTTTTGCTGCTTCCCACAAATTCTGATAAGGAGCCTTTTCATTATTTCTCAGGTGTACAGGAGAATGGATGATTGTGGCATATTTATACAATGGACTATTATACAGCAGTAAACAGTGAATGAATTTAGCTACATGCAATAATGTGGATGACTCTTAGCTACATGATAGTGAATAAAAAAGAACGAGTAGCAGAAGACTATATATAGTATGACACCCTTGCCTAAAAAGTTCCCAAAGAGGCAAAACTAAACAACATTGGGAATATATATATGTATATATATGCACTATATATATATATACATATATATAATAAAGATTTTTAAATGTAATTGTATTATAAATATGAAATGCAGCATAATGGTTAAATCTGCAGGAGGGAGGGGTATGGGCTGGGAAGAACCTATAAAAACATATAACTTATTGGTAATATTTTTATTTATGAGTGGGCAGTGGATTCATGGATGTTCATTATATCATTAAAGTAAACAAAATAGGGTCATGCTTGGACCAATGAGCGTAGTGTGTAATGAACCAAGGAATATCAGTAATCCTATTCTATCCAACTGATGAGTAAGAATCAAAAAGAAAAATAAACAAATGTATAAGCAAAAAAACCAGGAATAAGCTTCATTTAAACCAAGGCCTATGTAGGAAGCTCCTTTATGGGTTTTCAAATCCTTTAATCTCAAAATGATAACAGCTACCTTTATTAAGGGCTTATCTTGTTATTAGGTATTCTCCTCAGCATTTCACATACACTATTTCTAAGTCACTGAGTACAAGGTCAACTGCTGGACATTGGAATAAACTTTTCTTATGTTGAGTCCTGAGCTTCTGGGGTTTGAAAAGTAAATAGGTGTAATTACCCCTCTTTGGATTTGAGGAAATGCATCTGTAGTGGGCTTAGAGAATAAATTCTGAAGGTCCTGTCCCCTCCCAGGAGGCATGGCTCTAGGCATCAAGGTGATTTCGAGGCTCCTTTTCCTTGGGATTTAATGCCCGATTTAAGACCAGTAGGAATCAAAGATGGATGTGAAAGAGCAGATAAAGGTGGAGTGCTTTATCAGGTGGCGTGGACCTGATAAAGTTAGTTCCAGTACCCCTCATTGTCCTTTGAAAGCCTCGGGCATGAAAGACCCTATGTCTGGGGCCTATTGGCGCATGGGGGTATTACAAAGGCAGGAGCCTGGTAACCCTTAGACAAAGGCCAAACAACAAAATGCTGCTCTCTGTGCTTTCACGTCAGATCAGCAAGAGGCTGAAGACCTAGATTTATCCCATGCTGATTTATGCCCATCAATCCAGTTCTTACATCAAAAGCGGGATTTAAGGGTAGCTTGTGATGAAAGTACACAATAAGGATTTTAAGGCAAGGAACTAAATAGGAAGAGGGGCAGCAAATAAACCAACCATCGAGGCAAAGTGCATATAACCGCTGTCCCTGGGGCGGACCTTAAATTCGAACATGTCTGTGTTGTAGCTGCATTGGCCAATGGATTGGATGAGAAGAAGCCGTATCTAAATTTTCTACAAAAGCAAATTTGTACCAGAGTTAACCTGACTCTTACAAACGAATAAAGCATTTTCAAATGTAATGGTAGAGCGGGATAAAGAGAGTTCTGAAATTAAACAGATGTGTGTTTGACTTCTGCCTCTATCTCTTCCTTTTAGAGACTCGGCTTCATTAATCTTTTTGAATCTCAACTTCCCTTCAAGTGAAACGGAATAACAGCACCTGTGTCTTCAACTGGTTTTTAGGATTAAAGCTCGTGATCATTCCGAAGAATAGCAAATACATACCTTTTCTGAGGAAATAGAGCACAACACAGAGGTGTAGCAAATACCAAACTAAAAAAAAAAAAAAGGAAAAAAAAGACAAATCAGAGCATTTTCAAATGGATGACTTTCAGATTCTTCTTCTATTTTACTTTTATAACAATCCCCTTTCTTTCGAGCATCGTATTTCCTTATAAAGTATGTCCTGTTTGTATAATTTTATTACCAAGGACTGTCAAGATAATTTCAACAAAAAACATCAGAGAGATATCAGGAGTTTAAAAAAAGAATCATGCAAATAGTCCCAAACATTGTAGGTTTCTCTTTACTTCTATCTAATTTTGGGGACCATAAGTTCCAGATGTTCTGGGATGGTCTCACTTTCAAAACTTGTGTCCCACATTATCTGCCCATTCCTTCACCTTTCATATGCTGTGTATTTACCTTTAAAGAAGAAATTAATTATAAAAAATTAATTCCACTCACCAAAAGCCAACTAATCCAACTTGAATAGGTGCGCTCATCCATGGGAACCTCTGTATTGAGAGAGAAATTATTTTGAATACTTTTCATACAGAGACAATTTCTTCTGCTGATTAATAGGGAGGAAACTCTCCAGGTTACAAGATCCGGATTAGTGAAATTTGGGGTAACACTGCAACAAGCATGTTAGTCCTGACTTCCTGTAGCCTCCCTGATCGGTCAATGACTGCACATGCAAAGATCAAGTGGCTTCTCAGTTTTTTCTCTTGCACATATCGTCTGAGAGATGCCTGGCTCTGAACACGTGGAGGAATCATTACCTCCTACGGGGGCAGGTAGTACAGACTGGTGCGCAGGTTGGAAGACAGCCAAACCTGTACTCAACTCTCTGCCCTGCCGCCTGGTTCCCGACTGTGGGGACAGGGCAGGCAGAAGCCAACCTCTCCAAGCTTCGGTTTCCTTCGCTGCAAAATGAGGATCGCAACAGTTGCCTAAAAGTGTGTGGGAGGTGTGGCAGGTAACATTCGTAAAGCACCCAGGACGGTGCCCAGAGCGTAGCAGAAACCCAGCAAACATTTCCCTCCTCCCCTGCAGCTTCCCTTTCTTGCTTTTAGCTGCTGTCAGTATGGTTAAAACTACTGCTGGCACAGAAAATTTTTGCCTGTCATTTTTTTTTTTTTTTAATGGAAGTGAATGAGTTGGTTGGTCTTGTGGAGAATAAGCACTGTTAGATTTTTAGTTTTCAAAAAGGAGTGGTACCAAAACATGCGATACAGAGAACGATGGGATAGATGGTTCTAGGAACAAGGCCCCTGAAACAGCGGCAGCTGAGTTGTGAACTGGTTGTTATGAAATCGGCCAACTTAGTGCAGAGTCAACATAGGCTGTTAAAAGATCATGATCCCAAAGAAGCTTGCACGAGAGGCGTACCCTGGTCCCCGAGAAGACTCCTCTGGCAAAAAGGTATGTCACGCAGGTTAACTTGAGGGGAGAGAGGCAAGTACTAGAGAGGAAGGGAGAAATGTCATCAAGAGGGGACAGGCCCACCCCTCAAAGGACAGCAGGAAAAGGACATATTGTATCTTGGGTAACTGGCCCTGTATGATGATATGGATTTTCATAAGGAGATGTACATCCTCGCCCCGGCATTTCCCAGATGTGACATCTGCACTGGGTGATGGGAAGGCAGACTAAGTACTGAAGGAGATTTTGTGGAGGATGAACTTGAGCCCCTGAGAGTGGCCTTCTGATTTCAAGTGGGCTCTTGTCTGAAGCAAACGGGGCTAACCTGTTATCTCAGGGAACAGCTGCGGGTAATCTCAAAGAAGGATGTGTATGAGCGGAAGGCGGACTGTGGCTCGTGCCAAAGGTTTCGATGGAAAGGCTCTGAGTAATGACAAGGATCCTGGAGAATTCTGACTTAACCCAACCTGGATGTCATCCCAGAGTCTCCCAACTCCTCTCCAGCACGCCATTCACTTGATTCACCCCTACTTCTTAAATAGCACTCAGCCTGAGACTCAATTAGTGAGCGGTGGATGTCTGGTCTTCCCCTACATACTCACACACTTAAAATCGTGCAAACAGAGGATACTGTAAATAAAAGTTTCAATGAATTAAAGAGAGTAATCGTAAGTGTAAAAAATATATATTTAAGAGGTAAAAGCTCAAAAAGTAATATGACCCTAAAGTCTTCCTTCCCCCAGGACCTTTTTTCTAATAGCTTTGCTGACATACAGTAAACTGCAAGTATTTGCAGTTTTTATACATGTATTCAGCCGTGAAGCCATCCCCATGATCAAGGTCATGAACATATCCGTCACCCGTAATGCTTTCCTTGTTCCTTGTGCCCTTGGCAATTCCTCTCTCTCTCCTAAACCCTGCACCCATTCCCTGGCAACCTATGATCTCCTTTTTGCCACAATATATCAGTTTATATTTTCTAGAATTTTATGTATGGTATCTATTTTTTGTGTAATTGTTTTGAGATTAATTCGGGTGGTTGCATGTATCAGTAGTCCATTACTCTTCCTTGCTGAGTGAGGTATTCCACTGCATGGATACAGCACAATTTGGTAATCTATCCTCCTGTGGATGAACATTTGGGTTGTTGCCAGTTTTTGGCTATTGCAAATGAAGCTGCTGTGAACCATTCGTCTTTTAGGGACATATGCTTTCATTTCTCCTAGGTAAACACCTAGGGGTGGAATGGCTAGATCAGATGGTAAGCATCTATTTCACTTTTTAAGAAACTACCAAACTATTTTCCAAAGTGGTTGTACCATTTTTCATTCCCACCAGCAAGACATGAGAGTTCCAGTTCCTCCGCATCCTCACCAACACATGCTATGGTCAGTCCTTTTGGTTTTAGCCATTCCTGTAGATGTTTAGTGGTGGCTCATGTAGTTTTAATGTGAATTTCCCCAGTAAATAAAGATACTGAGCATCTTTTCACGTGCTTATCTGATACAGATATGTGTTTGGTGAAACGTCCATTCAAACCTTCTGCCCATTTTTAAAATTGGGTTGTTTTCTTAAATGAGTATTGAGTGATTTAGATCTTCTGGATATAACTCTATTATCAGATACAAGCTTTGTATAGATTTTCTTCCAGTCTATTTATCTTTTCATCTTTTATAGTTTTCAAAAAACAGAATTTTACCATTTTGATGAAGTCCAATTTATCACTTTTTCTTTTATGGACTGCCTTTGGTGTTGTGTCTAAGAAATCTTGGCCTAACTCTTGATCTCAAAGATGATCTATTATATTTTTTGGCTAGAAGTTTTACAGTTGTTCATTTTTACATTTAGAGTCTACGAACCATGGGGAATTAATTTTTACATATGATATAGTCAATTCCCTATACATGGCCCACATGCCAGGCAACCTGATCATCCACAAGTCTCCCAATAAGCCATGCTGTGTGACCTCTCTGAGCTTCTGCAAAGCATGTACCCTTGAGCCGTCCCCTTCAAGACTCTGCCAGCCCCTGTAGTTGAGGGAGACACCTCCTCTATTCCCTCTGTGCTATAACCACCAAGTATTAGAACCACTGCCCTGTGCCTCTTCCCATCACTGTGCTATATGGTCCCTGCGAGCAGGGCTCAAGCCCTGTTTCTATGACTCAAGCACCTAGCACATTGCTTGGCACGTAACAGGCACTCAGCAAAGGGCAGGTGAGTCAATAAATAAATGAGTGAATGGATAAATAAATGCAACACTCACATTTAATTAACAGAAAGTCCTGAAAAATCTACAGAGTAGACAGAGCAGTCCACCTTTATTAAAGGGGATATGGAAGAAGTAGAACTTAAGGAATGAGGAACGATTATCTGACCCAAACCATATTAACTTGACTTATTCCCAATGAAAGTGCCAGCAAGGTAAAGAGACCACAGGAGTTATTCTTCAAGAATACCATTCTTCAAAGGGCCAGATTTTCAGCAGTGAGCTTTCTGGTTTATTGCAAAGATTTCTGGGAGTCACATGCCCACTGCTGATGCTTTTTTTCCAGCACCCCACTTGGGGAAAGATAGGGGGAGGGACGAATCACACTGAATGCTCCCCAAGCTCATAAAAAGCCAAGAAGGTTCAATTTGTTTCATGCTTGCAGAGGAGTTTGGTCATGTCCAAGGCCCAGATAAGTACACCCTTATAGAGGGGCACAGCCAGCCACTGGGGCTGTGGGAACAAGCAGGGGGCCAAGTGAGGCAGACACCACCCACGTGGACGTCATGAGCTGCTGTAGAAATTATCTCAGGAGCCTCTCTGTAGAAGGGGCACGGTAAAGCCTGCCTTTCCTGATGCATGTGGAAGTGCTCTGAAGATGGAAATATATGGATAGTAATACAAGCCACCTCTGCCTATGTTTTAGCAATAGCTAGACTATCAGTTAAGTCCTATGGAACTCTCTATGTGGGCAAAATGCAGTATTGCAGGGTAAGGCCACGCTGCACTTGGGGAGTGGTATGTGTGTACGAATAGCTCAACAACAGTCCGCCATTCCTTTTTCAAAGCAACATCCTCCACTGAGGTCTGCAGCAGGACAGCTACAACCAGACCCCCTATGGGTGGCGGGACGCTGGGACTGAGTGTCAGCCACTCTGACCACCACTCCCGACCTTGCCATGGGGCTTCTGAGGCCAGTGGTCTCTCCCAGCTCCCGGTGAGGCCCTTCACTGTTGGAGAGTGGGGCAGACAGAGGGCTGCTTCGTCAAGGACAGGTGAGGTGGCACATCTCCAAGTTATCACTAACGTATACGGTATCAAGCAAAGCTAAAAACCGTATCCTGAGGTGGGGGAGGAAAACACAATATGCCTTCATTTATTAATGTGAAAAAGCCCACAACAGAGTGACAATGGGGAGCTAACTGCTTGTATCATTTGCTGGGTCTTTCACGTAGAAAATGTTATTAGGCTGTATCTGCAGCAATTTCCATCCGTCAGAGCAAGAAAATGATGCGAGATGCCCAACTGGGTCTTCTGTCCAGTGTCTGTCACTCGGAGATCAGAGTAACTCCGGCAACTTTTCCGACAATGCTGAGACCCCAGGAGCACCAATGGACACCTGCACTAGGAGAAGAATGTACCAACCTCATTTCGTGTTTTCCCCAGTGACCTAACTTTTCAGCATTAATGGAGCTTCAAATGCAGACTTTCTCATAGAATTTCTGGAATCCCCAGCCATGATCAGGACACATGTTAGCAGCCAGAGTATGCCCAATACCCGCAGGCCAGAGCCGGACTGCAGAATAAAGTACCCCCCGCAGGGGCAGGTGGCAAGATTCAGAGCCTCCAATCCAGAAACAGGCTGCGGAGACCCTTCTGCTAAAGAGGTGTTGGGTGGCATTCGAGAGGCAGAGAGAAAAGACTGGGTAGGCCTCAGCAATGGGGATGCTGCCACCGAGAGTGGCCTCCCATCTGCTTTCACGGTTACCTGCAGATTCAGGACAATCATAAGCTTGTTGCACTGTTGGTGAATGAGTCACACTTAGTACTCCTCTCTTGCAAAAGCTGTCACTTTTATGTCAGACAAACTCACATCAGATGACAATTTCCAAGCCTTGTAACTGACCTAGACATCTGGTCTTGCTTTAAAAGCCCGAATTTTGCTTCAATTCAACCCGGGGGGTGGGGGGTTAGGTTTATTTTGATCCTCCATTGCTCCTGAAGTTGGCATGCCATTACCTTAGGAGCTAACAACCAGGTAAGTCAACAGCTTGCCTGGGTCAATACATGCCCTCGCTGAACTACTAGAATCCTAATCCTAATGGCTTCCCAGATTAAGAGCTGGTAGAGAAGAACGCAGGGCATCAAGTCAATGTCTGCAAAGTTATGGATGTACTGGATGGGCCACTTCCTACTAGTATCCTGGAGAGTGATACTGACAAACCCCATTTAAATTAACTTAATGCGTGTCTTCCTCCAAAGCCTGAATCACTTCCCATAAGTAAAGCAGGGATGGACAGAGGAAAGAGCACTAATTTTTTTCAGATTATCTGAAAATCACGGAGATGTCAAAGCTGATGAATTTCAAATGTGTATACAATTTGGTAGTTTTAGGATATAGTTAATGTTCCAGTACATAAACTAATCCATTAGCAGCTTTTAAGAGTTAATCCTTTTCTAAGTTTTGCACCAGAAAGAGATGTGGGCAAAACTTTGTCATTAATTCTCAAAAGAAGAGCTTAGTGAAGTAGGTAAAATGTCGGATGAGTCCACGATGACATTTTGGTCTATAGCAATAGCTTCACTGCTTCCATATATATAACTGTTTTGTATTTTGGGACTGTTCAGTAGCTACAGAGCCACGACAACACGACTGCACAATGCACACCGATGTGTAAGATTGCTAGAGGAGGATGCGCAGGGAATAGAATTCTTCCATGTGCCCAAAGCACCCAAGAAAGAATATGAGAGAAGGTGCTGCAGAGAGGGGCCCCTTTCCCTAACATGGGGTTGGGGCACTGACAGGTGACAACCTGGCTACATGGGTCAAACGAAGCACTCAACATTACTGTTTCCTCATAGCAGACTTTTCCGGCTTACTTCTCGAAGAACATTCTTATATTGAAAGTGTTTATGAAGTGTTCGCTTAGTGTTGACTGTAGCTTTCCTTCTGGGGCGCATGGGGAGTATACGGGTCAGTGAACACACCTGTCGCACATTTAGAATACTCCTAAGCGATGAAATCATTCAGGAAGTGCTTGGCTTGTGAACTATGTCCTTTTTTAAAGCTTTATCTTGTTCCCTCGATGTTACAGTTCTGTTTCTAAGACCCAAAACAATTCAGCCAGGAGAGCTGTGGTCTTCCCCACAACATACCTGCTCCTCCAGCGAGGAGTGTGGCTCCTTTCTCTTGGCAGATCTAACAATGCCACTTTCCAAACCGCATGAGCCAAGTGAGTCACCCTATTCTACCATATCCCACTTGTGAAAGAACTGGAAAATGAGGGTGACGCATGAACACTATTGCTTTACAGTGGGAAGCTACAAAAAGCAATGTAGAAGCATTGAGAGTCCTTGGTCACAATGTGACCTTGAAGGGAGGTGGCTGATAAAATTAATGAATTACTAGACATGATCAGCAAAGAAAAATACACCGGGCACTATATTCAGGGTCCTACAAAGCTACTACTCCAAACTCTTTTCATTTCTGATAGTATGTGTAGTGACTTATGAACACATCATTCCAAATTCACACTATCTCTTCATTATCACCTAGCTAGGCATCCAAGTGATGACTAGGATAAGCTGTAACTGAGTATAACCTCTCAAGAGGAATGGGCAGCCACCTTCATTTACACCAGCTTTCTCAAATATCTGAGATCAGAAGTAAAATGTTCCCGGAAACATCTTTTTATTTAACTTAAGTGCCCAAGTGCCAATGGCCTTCAAATTCTTTACTCACTGGATAGGAAATATTCTGTATTGTTTGAAGTCTGAAAAGGAACTGAAAGGATTGAGACAAAGATTAACAGAACTGGGGCTTGCTTACCTTTAGGAAGGCTTTTTTCTCCAAAGTGTTCATGATAAATGGAGGGATAGCTGCAAGTAAAGATACATCCATTTAAATCTTTCTTTAATATTTATTTTCAGCTCACATCTTTTTTAACCATTTTACAAAAGGCTTATGTCACTTTTAGGCTATTTTCACAATGGCAGAGCGAAATTACTTGCAATAATTCTTTGAAATACTTTAGCATTTAAAAAAATTAAAAACAATGTAATGCTCATTACCAGCCAGAAAATTTTATAATCTGGGAGAGAACTTTACATTTAACTTTAAATATGTAACAGTACAAACATCAGGAACTTTCCCCTTCTGTGCTAATTAAACAAATGCAACCTCCCCCAGGCATCCATCCCACGTGGAGTCCAGTAGAAAGATTCTGCCTCAAGAAAAAGATTCCTGCCTTGAGGAAGAAAAGTTACCTAACTTCTCTGAGCCTCAGTCTTCTGTTTTCCTCATCGATAAAATGGGGAGAATTCTATCAAACTGGCTGTGAGACGGTTGGAGACAATAATGGACATAACTCCTCGGGTAGTGGTAGTTCATTTGTTATTTACTCACAGTTTCTATCAGACTGAACTGTCACATCAACCACTTCCATATGGCAATTACCTCTATAGATTCCACTGGGACAGAAAGGTTGTGTTTCTTCTCTGGGGACTAAATAATGCTTAAAATAACCAAGCCTCTAAAAGTAGATCCACTGGGCTGGCTGAGCTCCAAAGGGGAACCTCAGATTTCAAAATGAGAAAGAACAAAACCCAAATCAAAAGCAAATGCAGGGTAGAGGCTGGAGTTGCAAGCCTGCTGTCGGCAGATGTGGAAGTCGGGCATGGTGGGCGTGTTGGCGCCAGACCCTGGGGACCCCCGTCTGCTTCACGACCCCCATCTGTGTCTGATTGCCACAGTGCACCCACCCCCACAGCGTGCACCGCTGTCTCATGAGGACGCCAAGGGGTTTCTTCGTTCAGTCGATTAACGGTGGTTAAATCGGATAATCCGAATAATCTGGGATTATAGCTGACACCACTATAATGTCCCTACTCCTATTGTGCGCTGATGAGATTCACAATGACAAAAGGAACCTAAAGACAACAAAAGATACTAGCAGGACAACCTGACAACAACTGATTAAGTGTGCTTCTTTTGAGAGCTTGGTTAATAGTCAAGTGCTTTCTGCATTCAGCTTAGATGATGAAATTAATCCTACTAATTTCAAATTTTTTCTGTAATGAACACTAGACTTCCCGGGCCCTCTGTTTCCTGAGTAAGTCTGAGAATCTTCTCTCGGCCTTTGGTCTGAGGGTGGCTCTAGGAAGCCCTAGGAGTGGGTTACATACAATGCAGATTTTTGACTGTGGGTCATGTCGACTCCAAGCCCTAAGGACAAAACTGAGTAGAAGCTTGGCATACATCCTAATAGCTGCTCTAACCAACCCAACCTGGTTTGTATTCCAAGGGTTTCTAATCGATACAAATAAATCTTCAGTAGAAATTATTCTGATTCAAGAACTTTGAGAAGTTTCTTCTCCAGATGTACGAAAATCCAATTCTTTGCCTTCAAGTTCTCATCGCCCATACTGTGGCTGCCCTGGTCCAAACCAGGCCCATCACTGACCTGCTGTAGCGTGCCAGCCTCCTGGCCAGTCTCCAACCATCACTCTTGGCCCTCTTCACTCTGCTCCTGACACGGCCCCCACTGTCATGCCGCTAAAGCCCAAGGATTACACCACTCCCCTGCTTAAGCGGCGCTGTGGCTTCCCGCCCCTCAGACTACGGTCAGGGCTCGGTGACCAAGAGCTACTAACCCATGCCCGGGGCTGCCATGAGAATCCGAGAGACAACTACTTGTGTGATGGCTTGTTTTGCAGCATTGGCCGACTCGCCCAAGCGGTTCCCATTCTCATCTGTGACAGGAATGCCAACTTTGAGTTCCCTGCCGAGCAAAACACAGGCAAAGAAGTTCACAGATACCTTCATGAAACGGCTGGAAACAGCACTGTGCTACGGAAGACCAAGTCCCTACTGAATCCAAATACCCGCTTGAGTGTCAGTTTTGGCACTAACAGGTCTATTTTTATTTTTTAAAGATTTTATTTATTTATTTGAGAGAGAGAGAGCAAGCAGTGGGGAGGGGCAGAGGGCGAGAGAGGAGCAGGCTCCCCACTGAGCAGGGAGCCCGACATGGGACTCAATCCCAGGACCCTGGGATCATGACCTGAGCCGAAGGCAGATGGTTAACCGACTGAGCCACCCAGGCGCCCCTAACAGGTCTATTTTTAAATACCACAAACAAGTCTAATCCTTGTGTGGTAGGCACAAAAGTAAAGTAACACGGGGAGCCTCGGCTGAGCATCCGACTCTTGATTTCAGCTCAGGTGGTGATCTCAGGGTTGTGGGATCAAGTGCAGAGTCTGCTGGAGATTCTTTCTCCCTCTCCTTTTGCCCCTCCCCCTGCTCACTCTCAATCTTTCTCTCAAATAAATAAATAAAATCTTTTTTAAAAAAGGAAAATAACACTAGTAAACTCCATGAAAAAAAGTGCTGCATTTTTTAACAATAATATAATTCAAAGGGTGAATATGCTAAGTTAAAGATAAGGCTAATTTCTATGCTCACATGCAAATCTGAGCAACTTCCCAAATGAAAGACACATGTAATACATGGCATTACTAAGTAAATTAACTATACTGCCCCAGGAATCACTAGTATATGGCACCACTGGATAGTTAACGCCAGTTACTAACACTAAAATTTGATTAACACTTGATCTTAGCCAAAAGGCCGAGAAGCGATTACTAACACTAAAATTAAAGCTCCTATTGTTACCCTGTTTTTTGTTATCCATTCCAAAATGCTTTTTCTTGTTCTTTCTTCTCTTTTAATTTCTGTCAGTTCTATAAAATACTTCCAAAAATGTACATTAATATTTTAAACCCAGTAAGACAGTTCTGGGGTGGGGGTACCTATTTTAGAGAATAAACTTTCTGTGCATAGACCTTCTTTGCCTAGCTCTACAACAACTAAATGTTAGTTTGAGATATCTATTTTAAACTTTTTATTACACAGAAGTAGAAAGAGTATTCTAACCCCCCACATACTCATCAGCCTACTTCAATAATTAGCAACTCATGGCTAAGCTTGTTTCATTAATGGACCCATCCCTGTGCCCACACCAGATTACTCTGAAGCAAACCCAGGTCCCATATAATTCCATCTGTAAATATTAAAATGAACTGTTAAAAGTTTCAACACCACTAATTATTATAAGACTCTACTGTCAAGCACCAGTCCTTTCTAAGACTGCGTATGAATCTTACCTTTGCCTCATTAATGGGATATTAATGCAATTAGCAGCAGCTACAGCAGCAAAGGGAACAAAACGTCCTATGAGTGGTGAGACATGCTGCAGAAAAAAAAAAAACCCCAAAAGCATTATTTTACTTTGCCCGGATGACTGAATGCAAATACTTATTTCTCCTTGAAAACTGCTAAAAACACAGTCTCTTTTGTATGGAAACTCAGGCCGAGGGTACTTTCAAAACTTGTTCCCTGGTGGTGGTTGTCGATTTCCAGCATGGGCGCACTGGGACAAGACATGCTTCCCAGACATCGGCCAGACTGGCCTGGCTGACGGACTGGGGGGCTTTGGAGTCGCGGGGTCTTGAGTTCAGGCGTGGCGTCTCCACCTCTCGAGAGGTGTGGGCGCGGGCACACTCCTCGGCACACAGCCTCTAGTGGGCAGCCAGGGTCGGGGAGCACTGGCACGTAAGACGCAGTGCCAGGGACAGACCAGGGGCTTGGCAGAGGGTGCTGGTGACAGCCTTTCCGAAACTCACTGGAAGACCCAACTGAGGTAGGCAGGCGAAGATAATGATGGTAATTCTTAAGAAAGTCCTAGGACTTGGCGCGCCTGGGTGGCTCAGTCGTTAAGCGTCTGCCTTCAGCTCAGGTCATGATCCCAGGGTCCTGGGATCGAGCCCCGCATCGGGCTCCCTG